ATTATTATTATATTATTATTTTTTATTTTTCTGAATTTTGTTTTGGCAAATCTAAACTGGAGTACGCTTCCGTTGCTTCGAAGTCTGTTACGGTTACCGATACCAGTAAACTTTAGCACATGCAAAGAAAACTTGCAACTCTTTGTCACAACAGACTTTTCCGATATGTTGATTATCATTTCGAAAATTTATTGGAAAAGTTAAATTTGTTGACCCTGCATATCAGGCCTCATTATTCTATTAATGGATATCTCCAGTAGCACTAAATGCTGGCCCTCTGCCCTCGAAACAGTGGGCATTCGCATCTCTGCTCGTAACATACTTCAGCTAGAAGCGTTTCTGCTGCAAATGCAGTTTGTAAATCTACAGATGTTTTCTAGGAGCTCAGATGTAAATATAAACAAACTTAACTGATGGCCTTTTCATTATTCTTGATTATTTTGTTCTGTGTTGTCTTATTGTTGCTGCAGTTTGAATTTGTGCTGACTCTGAAGTTGGCCCTTGGCTGTTGAGTTTAGAACATAAATAAATAAATAAAGAAATGAATAATAACAATAATTATTATTAGGACGATAAAAATAATGAGGTTGAGTTAGAATGCCGATAACAGTGTCCGCACTATTTAAGGCATGAAGTGATCGAATGCTGGGCTCGTGGGTTCAAATCCCACTCGAGATTTGGATCTCTGTGTGTGCGTTTGTTCTGTATTCGTGGTGTTCTGTGTGTAGGCAGCGGCAATGCGGTCGGCTGATCCCCCGTCCAAGGAGTCCTGCCCTCTGTGAGAAAAAAAAACGAAACTGAAGAAAAGGCCAGGGCCCAACAAAGGAGCGTGTAACATGGACGATAGAGAACAGACAGGAAACTAAGCATAAAATGAAATGACAATATTAAAAGGGATCTTAGAGAAATAGAGTGCGCTTGTGTGCACAGGGTTCATCTGACCTAGAATACTGACGAAACGCGTTTTTTATGGTGATAATGAATCCTCAGGACCGCCTCTATGGTCTAGTGGTCAGAGTTCCTGCCTACAGATCCAGAGGACCGGGTTAGATTCCCAGCGCTACCAGATTCTCTGAGAGAGGTAGTGGGTCTGGAACAGGGTCCACTCAGCCTCGTGAGGATAATTGAGGAGCAATTTGAATGGATAAGTAGCGGCTCCGGTCTAGAAAACCGAAATTAACAGACGTGGGGGATCCGTTGCGCTGACCACGTGACACCCTCTATCCGTAAAAGTTGGCACTCACTTCGCTGACAAGAGGCGGTCGATCGGTCGGTATCGTTCGCTTGCGGACTACAGGCCACGGAGTTTTGTTTGTTTTGCATATGTGGTGACTTCATAAAGATATAGAAAAGACATGTTAAATAGATCTATAATTTTTCCTCTAGTTTTGTATGGACGTGGAACCCGATCTCTCAAATTAATAATACAGATTGAGGGCGTTTGAGATCAGGGTTCTGAGGAGAATATTTGCATCTAAGGTGGTGAGATAATTGAACGCTAAAGAAAGTTTAACCAATAAGGAGCTTCATAAATTACACTCTTCTTCAAATATGTTAGAATACCAAGCAAAGGAAGATGGGATTGACAACGCTTGTAGAACACATGGGAGAGGATTTCATATAGAATTTTAGTGGAAAAACCTGAGAGAGAGGGGCCAATGGGAAAGCGGTATTAACGAGGTGTTGGTTGATATCTTTCATGGAAATGCTTGAAGAAAACATTGAAATAGACCACGACCGTTAATTTCCATACTTTTCTTATATATTAATCACAATAATTACAATAATAATAAAAAATAGGCTAACATAACCTGTAATGTTCAAACGACTCATTGCATGCGTCAGAAAATTATTCTAGAAGCTTTATCTAGTTTCTGAACATAAATTTATATACCTGAAGTAGCGGTTGTTTAATTTCTTTATCCATGTTCTCTTTCTTGGATGATTTCGAAAACTGAGCAGTCAGAGATATACGGAGATGTAACTCTTGACTTCAGAGATGTCACTAAGTGTACTCTCGCTGACACTCCACTCTTGCACAGACACCACTGTGCGCAAAACATGCATTCCGAATCTGAAAGTCTTTATTTTTTCTATATTTAAAGACCTTGGTTATTTGTGATAGGGTTAATGGTTGCAAAAAAAAAAACCGAACAAACTGATAGAACACAAACCGTCTGTCGTCTTATTTAGTATTTCAATTGTCGAGCCTAACGCATTTCAATTGTCGAGCCTATCGCATTTCTCTGTAAGCCCTTCTATTTTATGAACCAGACTTATTGCAAAGTTTACATTAAATTGGGATATTAGTTATGTTTGTCAATTGGGGAGCCATTTCAAGGAAATAGCGGCTCCGGTCTAGAAACCCAAAATTAACTGCAATGGGGATTTTTTATTGTAGAAAAATACATGTATATTGTAAATACCAAAAAAGCCTAGACAATGCCCATCCGGCCTTCCGTAGCACATTAATATAATTATCTTACTCTATAATAGCGGTAACCCAGCGATTTTTAATATAGATCTTAACTTAAATCTTAGAGTATACTGTTAATAATCGGTACAATTACTTCTTTAACTTTTCTTACATATATATTTTATATAAATGGGGATTCGTTGCGCTGACCACGCGACACCCTCTATCCGGTGAAGTTGGCATTAACTTCGTCGACAAGCGGCGGTCGCTCGGTCGGTAAAGTTCGCTTGCGAACTACAGGCCACGGAGTTTGTTTATTTTGTCAATGTCAATACTACATAACGTCGGATTATAAGACGATCAATTAACCTGAGTATTTGGTGGAGAAACAGAAATTGGAATTTATTCGCTATCATTCCCATTATAGCGTTTTCTTCATAAATATTTCCTGTCAAATTATCCCGAGAGAAGATCTGCAGCATTATGATCCCTTTTGTTAATCTTGCGCAGAGTCGACGTCAGGTCTGGATGACGTCGTTGGCGGAGGGAAACGCCGTCGGTCGCGGACCAACTTCAACAGCTGGCAGTTGGAGGAACTGGAGCGGGCCTTCCTGGCGAGCCACTACCCGGATGTGTTCATGAGGGAGGCGCTCGCAATGAGACTGGACCTCAAAGAGTCGCGGGTCGCGGTGAGTTAGTGGTGGGACCGCGCGGAGAACACGGGCTTCATGAAGCTTATGTCATACAAACCCTTCACTTATATTTATACTGAGGGATCCAGTGATTGGAATTAGTTCTTCCTAACGAGAACAACAGAATAGTTGTGTCCCATTCTCTCACCTGATAACGGAAACAGACCCAGTTTCCGAAACGTCGTGTTCTTTAGAATACGGATGACGGACAAAGTCCAAACACCCGTTAATCTCGGGTGTCATGTATCGGCCATCAGAATCTTGTAGAATCTGCTTAGTTACTTGTACTATTGTCCATTATAAAACAAACAAAAAAGAAACTCCGTGGTTTGAGCCCGCAAGCGAACAATACCGACCAATGTTGAAAATATTGAAGGTAACTTAGGAGAGAGTGAGAGGAAATTTGCCGTAGATTCATGGGCAAGTTTACAGAATATGGCGTATAGACCCGTTGCTAAGCAGTGACTCTGTGAACAACGGCCGTTGTTAAGTAACATCCGTAACATACACTCACGCAACAATAGAAGAAGGACGTTTGATATTTGGGCCGCGCCGCGTCCTTTGCTATACAACGGCGCGCTAAACACGCCTCTACAACAATAGATGGGTTGTGTTTTTCTGCGTGGTCCGTGCCGATTAGTTATATTGAAGACAACTGGCACTATAGTTGAATGAAACTCCTAAGATTTATACTTATTGAAGGGAAGTCGCTTGGAGTCAGGTTCAAATACCTCCAACGTAGACTTGCGAGTCGTAGGAGGCGATGAAAAAGGAACCAGGTTCCGGGGGTATAACTGGGCCCCCCTCTTCCTGGGATAAATAAATACGGGATGTTACATAAGGACTATGAACTCAAGGGTTAAGTTGAAAACATATGCTGGCCGTGAATCTTAAGGGGCTTGTCGCCAAGACGAACTGATTGGCGGTAAACCGTCAGTCGTAAAGCAACTGACTCCGACTCTACTGTTGAGTTAAGGGTTCGATGTGGAGTGTTAACCAGCGGGTAATGGCGTGACTGCGGAATCTACGTAATCCCTACTGTGTTAAATCCGCTGCCAGGAAACGGCTAGTTGGGACTAACAGATTGAGGATACTAGCGTGTATGTGTCAGTGAACTGTAAATTATAGTTCCGACTGGTGTACACAAGTGGCCAATAAATCCAATATCCAATCATTCTATAGTCACACACATCTAAACACGTGAAAATAATAGCCCTTCTTAGCAAATTTCATACGCTTAGTTAGAATGTTTATTAATTACTGCCTTCACACTGTTAGACGTAAATTCGGTGCTGCTGGTATGCTGTTTTCATTTTACTAAAATGAAACAACTAAAAAAGTGTCGTATCTTTCGAAGACGTAAGGATTATGTCTCTCTGAAAAGGGGTCCAACTCAGCCTCGTGAGGATAATTGAGGAGATATTTCATGGAAATAGCGGCTCCGGTCTAGAAAACCGAAGTTAACGGCCGTGGGGATCTGTTGCGCTGAAAACGCGACACTCTCTATCCGCTAAATTTGACACTAACTTCGGCGACAAGTGGCTGAAGCTCGGTCGGTATTGTCCTCTTGTGGACTGAAACCATGGAGTTTAGTTTTTTAGGGGTTATGTCACACACGATTTTAGGACCCAGTATTACATTGCACTAGTGAACCTTCCATTTCGCAGGTTGGTATGGCCACCAAATTGCTGATAGTAGGAAACTAAATATACAGGTTAATAAAATTTTCTCTAGCTATGGGCCATGTCATTTGTTTAAAAAATACCGACCCTGATGACAGGGACAGAGATGATCCCGGGAAAGTAGGTGATTTTTAACCAGTGACACGGCTGAGAGCCCGAGAAATTTTTAAGAACTTTCAGCCTTCGTGAAAAGCTTCAGATGCTGGATAAAGATATAAAGCCTGGTTGCCCTCTAACATAAATTATATTCGTATAATTTTATATATAGATTTTTAACGTAAATTTATCTCTGTGCATAATTCAATACCCGGCCATATATGGGAGAGTGGCGGTGGTGTACTTGCACTATGCTACAAGCCCGAACGTCGCGGTTTAGAGCCCTGATGAGGTGGATTTTTTTATGTTTTTTTCTTTTTTTTTTTCAATTTACCTAACCCTTCCAGCCGCACTATGGAACTGAGGTCGACTCAGACTCTAACAGAAATGAGTCTCAGAAATATTCCGGGGGGGAGGATAAAGGGCGGCCGGCACGTAAGGCTGACAACCTTACCGCCATCTATGAGCCGAGTGTCTAAGAAATGTGGGAACTTCGACGTCTCACAAACCTATGGGCCTCTATGGCCTGTTACAGGAATAGCTATACTTTTACCGTACCTTTATGGGAGGGTTGCGGTGTAGCTCCACACATACGTAACCTCGGCACTTCCATGCCCCGACACCTTCACCCCTCGGAGTAAATGTCACCCCGCTACTTTTTGTATAGGAGTCCGGATGGGTTACAGAACCGATCTGCTCTTTGTGGAGAAGAGGAGATCTCTTGCCCAAGCCAAGATTCGAATCACAGTCCTTTAGGCGTCTAGTCCGTTGCGCAATCGCTATACCGACTGACCTATTCCGCCCCCAAAAATTCGTTATTTGGTTGTACGAGAAAATTAGTTACCGCAGGTAAAAAAAGTAAAGTAAAGTTATCCCTGTAACAGGCTGTGGAGGCCCACAGGGTTGTGAGATGTCGAGGCTCCCACATTTTCTCTAGACAACCGGCTCACAGATGGCTGTAAGGTTGTCAGCATTACACGCCGGCCATCCTTTACGCCCAAGAACATTCCAAGAATACTCCTGGTACTCATTTCTGTTAGAGGCTGCGTCGATCCCAGGGTCATAGTGCGGCTGGAAGGATTAGGTCAATTGAAAAAATCCAATGACCTCATCGGGACTTGAACCTGCGACCTTCCGGCTTGTAGCATAGTACCTCAACCAACTACGCTACAGCGTGCTCCCAGTTTCCACAGATAATAGATGCAAATATGTTCAGGGGCCCTCGAGTTACATGTGCTGCCTGTGTGTTGCAGGTTTGGTTCCAGAACCGGCGCGCCAAGTGGCGGAAGAAGGAACACACGAAGAAAGGGCCAGGGCGCCCTGCGCACAACGCACACCCGCAGACGTGCAGCGGGGAGCCTATCCCGGAGGAGGAGCTGATGCGCAAGGAACGAGAGCGACGCGAGAAGAAACTCATGAAGTCACTTGAGCGACAACAGCGCAAACTGGCAGCAAAGGGAATCGCAGTCGACATGGCTACCTTGCGGCGAGAGTGGGAAGCTAAACGAGAAATGACGTCAACGTCAGCTGGTACTAGCGGAGTAGCTTCCGCTTCTGCTGATGATAGTGTTACTACCGGAAGTCCGGGTAGTCAACATCGTCAAGCAAACAACGATGATGATGATGATACAGATATAGATGTTGAAGATGATTCAACAATGGACAAAAATATTTGTCACGAATCAGAAAATAGATGTCAAGACGATATTAATGTTACATCTGATGAAGAAACTAATTATAACAATATAAATTTCACGTCAACAATGAAGACTAATAATGAACAAAGCCTAGCGACAGAACCAGGATGTGATGTAATAACATCTTATAGTGACGACTCCAAGCAGATATCAGAGGAACTAGCGATATCTGGAGAGAGAATATCACCATCTCGAATATCCAGGCCTTCCACAGCAAAGAGACCGAACCCATTTAGCATAGAAAGTCTTCTCTCTCACGCGGAGGAATACACGGACTAATTTTTGTGTCGATTATGAAATTATTTTATTGCATTTTCGTAATATTTATGGAACCTTTCAGTTATTTTTTTTATAATAACTGCATTATTACACCAACATGAACTTGTTGAAAATTCTGTTTCAGAAAGGATGTCGCTCTTAAAATATATTGCTCTAAGTTAGAAAAGAATAAAACAGATATTCTATTAAAATTCTAGAATGTTACAAGTACAGATACCATAAAATCACACAGAATACATGAAATTCATTTCCTGGCCAAACAAAACTTGAATGTTTATCATATTCACACAAGAAATATCCACAACACACTACTGAAGTTGCTAAGATACCACTGAGACCTGTTTCTTGGTAATATTCGTTCATGGGACTTTCTTTTCTTCCTTTTATATTTCGCTAGTGTTACGCCACTATTTCTACGTAACACATGCATTGCGATATGCATTGATTCTCATTCTACGGTATCTGTCAGTGCGCAAGCGCAGTGGCGTAACAACGATGGTGTGCGCAAACACGTTACTTTGTGGCTTCACGTTTTTTCGTTCTACGCATGCGTTGTTGGTAGAGACTTTGTAAATTGATGTATTTTGTATTGATTTAATTTAAGACAATGCAGACAATGCGTTCACATTTATTTATTAATTCATGATTTCACTGGGAACATTTTTAAATATTACTATATTACCTTGGTTGCTAAATTTTCGTTTGAACTGACTTTTGATAAAACTTTTTATTTTCAGCTAAAATTGTTGGTTTCTCGGATATTATCCTCCGTCCTCTTCAAAAAGTCAATAACTGTCTAAATATACCATTGTTTCGAATTCATAAATTTGATTATCTTCAGTTACTCTGAGGAAAGTTCTGTGAAGCTGGAAACTGCTTTTGTGAATGCATCAAACATGACATGAATGTGACATACCAGCAATTGAGAATACAGAAACTTTCACTTAAACGCCAGTAGATCGTTTCTGTTCTGGTCTGGATGTAAGCACAAAAGCAGTTTCCCAATTTCTGAATGACTATTCCAAAATATTTCAAGGAAATAGAGGCCCCGGTCTAGAAAACCGAAATTAACGGCTGTGGGGATACGTTGCGCTGATCACGCGACACCCTCTATCCGCTAAAGTTAGTACTAACTTCGCCCACAAGCTGCGATCGCCTGGTCGGTATAGTTCGCCTTCGGGCTAAAGCCAGGGAGTTTCTTCTTTGTTGATTCTTCGTGAACACGCTAGTGAAACTTCTGTTTCGATAAACATAGGAAATAAATCGAACAGCTGATCGTCCGATAGCCCTTAAACACGTACCGTACTGTATGGAATTAGTTACATTTTGTGGGGGGGGGCTATGAATTTCTGCCCTACACACAAAATTCCACTTGACGAGGAGAAATGTTGAGACATTTCTCGAAGAATATGTAGCCTGATTTATTGTTACATCTAATTAAATATAAAATAAATTTTTATTTAAAAGCTATATAGTTACCACAGTGACATTGCCTTCCATCTTCAGTTTGAAATTTTGAGAGTGGTAAAATATTTTAGATTCATAATAATTTTGGATATAATTGTTACCATTCAGTCCAGAACCTTTTGTCTTCTCGTCTGCTGTCCAAAAATATAAAAAATTAGAACATACAAAACTATAATTTTTCCTTTGGTTCTGTATGGTGTGAAACCTGGTCTCTGACATTAAGGAAGGAACATAGACTGAGGGTGTTTGAGAACAGGGTGTTGAGGAGAAAATTTGGACCGAAGAGAGATGAAGTGACAGGAGGGTGGAGAAAACTGCACAATGAAGAGCTTCATAACTTGTACTTTTCTCCAAGCATAATTAGAATGATCATGTCAAGAAAGATGACGTGGGCAGGGCATATAGTACGAAAGGAAAGAAGAGGAATGCATGTAGGATACTGATGGGAAAGCCAGAAGGAAAGAGACCACTGGGAAGACCGAGACGTAGGTGGGTGGATAATATTAAAATGGTAGGATGGGATGGTATGAATTGGATTTATATGGCTCAGGATAGGGACCAGTGGAAGGCTCTTGTGAACACGGTAATGAACCCTCGGGTTCCATAAAATGCTGGGAAATTCTTGAGTAGCTGCAGAATTGGCAGCTCCTCAAGAAGGGCTCAGCTCCATTAGAAAGTAAGTAAGTAAGTAACTAAGTAAGTAAGTAAGTAAGTAAGTAAGTAAGTAAGTAAGTAAGCTGTGCTGAAGATGAAAGGAAATTGTTCCTAGAAGATGTCAATACCTATCGATCGGAATACGTGGTTTCACGTATCAGAATATCGTAACGCCAATAAATTGTAGCTGATCGCGAGATCAAGCCGATGCACCGTCCTAATTGACTACTAATTATCTGTAATATAATGATCAATGTTTTGACCAGATATAATGTAAATAACAATAAGCGGGTTTAGTCTTTCTCAAGTGGAATTATATTTAACAGACGTGCCGGCATATTTGTGAACAAAACATCCATGGCAACTAGATACGCCTTCCAGCGACGAAACTCCACCAGAAAATTGATTCAGTCTTCCTCAGTCCGTTCAGGCGAACGGTGGGACAGTCCCTGGAAGAAGGATACGGCTGCTAATCGTCCCGACAATGGCCACTATGAAATACAGGCTCAAAACTCTGTGGCATCTAGTCCGCAAACCGACCGCGCTACCGCCACTTATCGAAATTAGTGCCAACTTTTTCAGATAGAGGGTGTCGCGTGGTGAGCGCAACATTTCCCATGGCCATTAATCTCGGTTTTCTAGACCAGAGCCGCCATTTCATTGAAAGAGCTCCTCAATTATCCTCACGAGGCTGAGTAGACCCCGTTCCAGACCCACTACATCTCAGAAAATCTTGTAGCGCCCGGAATCGAACCCGGACAACTGGATCTGTAACCAGGAACTTTGACCACTAGATCATAGAGATGTGTTTAAATGCTTCATGTACATGAACTCAAATGGTCTCGTAATTAAAATGTTTCTTTGTATAGATATTCACATATTTACCCCCCCCCCACAAATTTTGTATGGTCAGCAATAGCCCCACCCCTTTAGCGTATAGTATATATATATATTATAGCTGCTCTTCTGGTTCACTGAAATTCATGCGCATTTTCATATAATTTGCTCCTGTTACTTGCCGAGATATTTGCAATATTTGTATTTGCCGCTAAGAGCCACACCAACCTTGTGTAGTACGTTAAAGTCAATCAGGTTTCGAAGGAAAAATTACTTACATTTCAGGGCTGAAGAGTAACCTTAGTTTGGTTGCTATCGTGTATACGCTGGTTCCGTTTGGCTTACTCTTCAACCCTGAAAAATTGAGACAGGTTTCTCCGAAATGTCGGTTGACTTGCAACGGAGTACACAGCGTTCTGTTCCAGAAGATGGGTTCATGATCTTCATGAGAGCCTCAAATCTTAAATGTATTCTCACTGGTCTGCTTCAGTCGTCGTATTTCCTTCTTGGGAACATAAATCACAGTAGGCATATTCTAGTAACCATATGAAATTTTAAATTCGTAATTACTTCAAGACATATTTAGCAAGAAGGAACCGGGATACTGTAGTCGGTATAGAGACTGGCTACGGGCTGGACGACCGAGTGATCGCAGTTCGAGTCCCGGTAGGTTAAAGAATTTTCGCTTGTCCAAACCGGCTCTGGGGCTCCTGTACCATGGGTAGCGGGCGCTCTTTCCTTGGGATAAAGCGGCCTTGGCGTGAAGCTGAACACTCACCTCCATCTAGAGTCGAGGTCAAAAGAATGTGGATCTATACATCCACTACCTCATAAGTTTTAAACGCGTAGTACTTAATTAGTTAGGCACATGGTACAGCTTTAAGCTTTACCTTTACCATATGTAACAAGAACAAAAAGTAACGTTAACCCCGGGGTTCCCATGTAACTCGCGAACCTGTCCGTACAACACACCACACGTCAGCAGTCTAAGTAGATTTCTGTCCTATTTTAGGAGTTAATCGCATGACATTACTCACAAACTTATCAAAAGTTGTCTGCCTTTAAGTGCCTTTAGCCTTTACGGACCTTGAATATGCAGTTGTGTGGGTCAGGGTAATATTTAACCCACTTCTTATTCATTCATTTAATTGTGGCTTATTTAACGACAATGTCAGTAGCTCAGGTTATGTAGTGTCAAATGGTAGGATGAGTAATGAAGAACGAACTGTAAAGGACGTGCAAGGAAGTGGCCGTGGACTATTCTGTGATTAATAAAATCGTATTTACACGGCAGGATTAAGGAAAGCCAGGATAAAACTTCAGAAGATGTAAAACGTCGAGTCGGCGCTGAGATTTGAAGTCGAAGCCGCCAGAATAAGAAGCAGGGACAGCAGTAGGACATTTTATCATGACACAGAGAGAGTTTTGAATTCTGCAGTGCTTGAAGGAGACGGTGCCCGGATAACAACGGTTTCAGGTTCGTTACTACCACAACAACGCGCTAGATCCATCCACCCATCCACCTGTGGCTCTACAGCCTTTTGTTGGACCTTGGCCGCCTTTTCACTATCTTAGTCTTATACACAATTGGTTAGTCTCCTTGGACGGGGGATCAGCAGTCGCAAGGCCTCTGCCTATACATAGAACAAACAAACACAGAATAAACACACATTGACATCCATACCTTGAGTGGGATTCCAACCCCCGGTCCCAGTGTTCGAGCGGGCAAAGACTGTTCATACATTAGATCGCGTAGCCACTGTGATCGGCCTACGCATTGGATTCAACAGAACTAATATACTCTATCGGCCGGTCACGGTAGCCGAGCGGTCTAAGGCATGTTCTGTCTTCGCGCGCTCGGAAGCCGGGATCGCGGGTTCGAATCCCACTGAAGGCATGGATGTTTGGTGTTTGTTTGTTTGTTTGTGTATGTGCGTTTTCTGATTTTGTATAGAGGTAAAGGCCTTGCGACGAGCTGATCACCCGTACAAGGAGTCATACCAAATGTTTAAGATCTAATAAACCGAAGTGAAACGGAGAGTTTAATGGAGGTAGGCCAAGGCCGAAATTGGGGCTGTAGTGCGAAAGGAAAAGAATACTCTATCCACTGAAAGAAAAAGGAAGGGACGTCAATATCTGTTAGCGACGTAGACCCTTAAGTCATCATTAGAAAGGTACTAGATTCTATTTTCAGCAAACTTCCAACATACATATATACGTCGGTGAGTAATTCAAACTTACACGGGACTTTTCTTACACAAGGTTGCATACCCTGTTTCGTAGAGTTGACGGACTGTAAGAAGGATCAAAGAAATAGAAATAATACTTTTGGTCTTGTTAAGGAAGTTACAATTATTACAGAGGGAGCACTATGCTACACGACGGAAGGTCGCGGGTTCGATTCCTGATAAGGTCATTGTTTCTTTTTCAATCTACCTAATACCTATGGTCCTGTGATCGACTCAGCCTCTAGCTGAAATGAGTACCAAGAATTTTTCTGGGGTGTAAAGGGCGGTCAGCCAGCGCGTAAGGTTGACAAACTTGCCGCCATACGTGGGCTGAATGTCTAGAGAAGATACGGGAGCATCCACGACCTA